GTCACTGACTGGGGTTTCAATCAGCAGGTAGTGCTAGTGGGTGCTGGGGCTTATCGAGACTCATGCAGGGTTCCATTTCCATCCCTTCCTCTTGTTTGTATCCATCCCCCTGATAAAAACAGGAACTGCCCAGGGCATTCGTGCTGGAAGGCTCTTAGGTGCTTTCATTGCCATTGTGGGCAGATCCTCGGTGCCTGCACACACTTTGAGGTGGATGAAGCCCAGGTCGGTTCCAACTGGAATCATTTGTCTTAGCTTGGTGTGTCCCAAGAAGTCATGAAGAGAAAGCAGATCTATGACTTTGGGTACCTCCCTGCAGAGATGTGCACTCCTGGAAGGGTCTGGCGATGACCTGGCATGAGTCCTGCTGCCCCCTTGGGTGGGACCCTGTGGAGGGGGATGACTGTGGTGATGCCCATCGAGCTGTGCTTACGGAGTGTCTCTGCCAATCCTCCCTGAAACCAGGGCCATTGCCTTGGAGGTGATGGGAAGGCATCAGGCTGCTGCCCTGGGGCAGCACCAGGGATGGAAGGGAGGCAGGATGCATCCCAACCGTGGTTGTCAGTTGTTGCTCTACTGGCAGGTTGTCCTATGATGCCTTCACGTAAGCGACTCTGAAGTATTTCCTCTCTAGGTTATTGCTAAAATTGAGATTTTCCTATGGAAATCCTGTCTGTTGGGGGCAAACTCTGGTTATGAGCATGCTGAGGTGGGATGCAGTCACTGTCAAAGTGTGGTGGTGCTGGTATCGGTCCCAGTCCCGGCGACAGGCTCCACCACGTGTGGTGGGATTGATGCAGCCCAAGGCTGTGCAGGCGGGAGGGCCAGCCCCGAGCTGTGCCAGGCTCAGCTCCCCCCAGAGCACCCCCTGTCCCGTCCGGCTGGCACCGAGCCTCCCCCACAGCTGCCTCCCCTCCAGCAGCTGGGATTTGGATGGGGCTGTGGATCTGTGCAGATCGTTTTTGAAGGAGAGAAAGGGGACGAAAACTGCCAGTTTTTTTTTTCTTTTGCAACTCATTCTCAAACGCTCAGCCCTTAAAAGGAAAAACGACTCAGCTGAAGCCTCCACTGAGCTTAGGAGGTGCCACTGCGTCTCGGGCAAAGCAAAGCTTTGGGGAGGCTGTTTAAGGATTGGGGGTTTGGGCTTGTGCTCTCATGTGCAAAATGAAAACTGCAGCCATGGTGGCAGGAATGACCCAGGGTGTGCCGTGGCAGCAGCTCATGGGCCGGGTTATCCAGGCAGGCCCCGCAGCCCAGGGAAGCTGGATCACTTCTCTGCTGTGGTCTGGGGCTCCAGCTCTGCAAGTGATTGTGCTCCCAGTCCTGTAAGACCCCTGGGCTGCTGGGACAGAGAGGCTGGAGAGGCCCCTGCCAGAGCTGTGTCCTGGGCCAGCCTGGGGACCCTGGCAAAGAACAGCGGGAAGCACCTGTAACCTTTTTGACACTGAATGCTTTTTGACATGTCTTTTGCCTTCTGGCCAGGCTGCAGTGGCCACAGCTGATCTGTCTTCATAACAGAGTCCGAGGTGCTCACCCTCAGCCACAGTTTGGGGACAGAGAGAAGCGAGAGGCCCGTGGCCTCCACGGGAGCAGCAGCAGGTCCTTTCCCCAGACGCAGCAGCCAGCCCTGTGTGCCTCTGACAGAGGAGCTGCTGTAGGAGCCTGCACTTCCCTGGCTGTCAGGTGCAGTCAGAGCTGAGACCCATCTGCATGGCTGAGATTTTTTTAATGGGAGTAGATTTTACTGTTCCTTCTGCCCTCAGGTGCAGTTTCCTTTAGCGTTGGTTTGAGTAGTCCCCGGGTGCCTGTGACTGTGTCTCCAGTACCAGGACTCCTCCTGCTCAGAGGAGTGCTTTATGCTCTGTCCCAAAGCTGTGAAAACAGGGGTGTTTCCTGCCCCTTGCTCTTCCCTCTGTTGCAGAACCCCCAGTCCTATGGTGGGGGGAGTGAGGGATGGGATGGGATGGGATGGGATGGGATGGGGGCAAGCAGCGCTTCAAGTCCCTCTATCTTCCCCTCCCCAGGAGGTCCTCTCTGTGTGACTCCGGGGCTGGGCTGGGAGTGATTTCAGGACCAGGTCAGTCCAACCCTGGTGGGCAGCACTCAGCACAGAGTGGATGATGGAGAAACGTGAAGGTTGGTGTGGTGGGAGTTTCTGTGCTGCCCTCCCTTCTCCCTGCTGAGATATGGGGTCTGAGATGCCTGTGCATCCATCCCACCCAAGGTTCAGGTGCTGGTCTTGGGCTCTAGGGCCTTATGCCTTTGGAGTTGTTCTGGGCTTTATTTTAAGTTGATTATCATTGTAGCATGACTTTTCATGGTGTCTGTCCTCCCTTAGAGAGATTTTCTCCTCTGTTCCCCCTCTCTCCTCTTATAGAGACACCAGGAAATCTCATCTGTGTCCTAGAAGTCCTTGTTTCTTACTTCTTTCTCTCCAAGACAGGATTTCGAAGGAATCTGCTGTTAATTTTGGTGCTGCCCCAACCTGCTGCCATGGAATGAGCTGTCCCTTTGCTGCCTGTTCTGCTCTGAGGCCAGGGTGAATCGAGGGGCTGACAGCAGCAGCATGGGAGCCAGCAGTGCTGGCACCTGGGCTGGGGGAGAGTTTGGGAATGGCCAGGAAAGAGGCGAGAGCCAACAGAGTCCAAGCAACCAAAAGACCTCCAAGTTTCTCATCTGACATCTCTGTCTTTGAAAATATCACCTAGCAGAAGGCTTGGGGCTCTGCTGGTGTTTGTATTTCAGTTTGGTTTTGTTTTTTTTTTTTTAATTAAAAACACCAAAGCAATGAGATGCTTTGTGTGATAGGACCTTTTCCAGGTTCTCTCGTACCCCTAACCCACCCAAGCCATGGTGCTGTTCTCTCTCCTCTCTGCAATGTGTTGCCAGGCTGGGCTCTGCTTTCAGAGGCCTGCCTCTGTTCTGCTCTTCCTGGAACTAAGCATATGTGCTCAGGCTTTGAGCAATCACAGCCATTTGTTCTGTATTTTCACAGTCTGGTCTGTCTCCTGCAAAGCAGAGGCTGGTTTGTTTGCATAGCACTTATTTTCAGAAGCAGGAGAGTTTTAGGAACAGGCTGACATTATATTTATTTTAGTTCCTCTGTAATTTTTGTTAGAAGGAGGCATGTGTATTAAAAGAAGTTCATATATATATATATGTATATATGGGGGAGAGGGTTGTTTTGGATACTTTTTTTGTCCTAAGATGTAAATTACAGCTTTTCTGGACTTGGCTGAGAGAAGGCAGTGAATAAAGCCTGGATTGACTGAGTCAGCTGGTGGTGGAGGGTCACCATAAGGAGCTGGTGCTAGAGACCTTCTTGGGGGCTCTGCAGCTTCAGGATACAGATGAGTTTTACAGCTTGTCCTGGCTTTGATATGCAAATGGCAGCGCCTCAAGCCACCTGGAGGTTGCACTTTGATGCTCAGTGTCTGCACTGAGCGAAGTTTTTCTAAGAGGTGGCTTTGCCTGTTGTGCAGAAGGTGAAGGGGCAAGCGTGATCCTCTTAAAAAAAATCTGTAGTGATGTTTGAGTGCTTGAACACAGCCCAGGCTGCTCTTCAGCCAGCCAGGAGCCTGGACTTGCAGAGGATCAGCAATGTCAGCAGCTGCAGTGCCTCTGGGATGGTACCCACTCCCCATTCCTGAACTGGTTTGCCTTGTTCTGCTGCTGGGGCCTCCCTTTAGAGCACCCGGGATTGTGAACGTGGCTCCATTCTCCATAAGGCTCCTTCTGCTCCTTTTCATGGGCCCCTTGTCCTGCTCTGTTAGCAACACATGAAGCAGGCTCCGAACTCCTCATCTCTGTAGGGCAGATCATTCCAGATGCCCATCCCCATCACCCTGCCTGTTCTCTGCCCTGGACCCTACACATCCCCCCTGCCTTCAGCCACTGTCACACCGTGGCTGTGAGTTGTACTTCACTCTCCATGTGTGATGGCCAAACTGTTCCTCCTCCTCCTCAAGGAGGACCTGTTAACAAGACACTTAGTCTCTGCAGTGGCACATTCTCAGTTGGATGACCTCTGATGATGGGAACAATGGACATCTTTGTCTTGGGGCCAGCTTTGAGTATGCTGCAGGCCTCCTTTGAGGGCATTAGTCTTCAGAAATCCTGCTTGTTATGGAGCCATGTTTGGCCAAGAAGGGCTTAGTACTGCCCCAGCTCTCTACAGGGCTCATCCCAAAGAAGGGAGGTGGGGAAAGGAGGTGGGATCTTGGCATGGAAGATAAATCCAGAAATTACAAAGCATGGTAGATAAATGGGGGATCAAGTTCTAGGAGCTCTCCTCGTAGCCATGCACAGGGGTTTGCTGGCAGCCTGGTGTGAAGCTCCCTTAGGCAGAAGTTTCCCAGGGCTTTCCTTGAAGCTCTGTTGCCTTTGATGTCCTTTGTCTCCTCGAGTTGGTGCTGAGCAGTATCCACAGGTAATGAGTGGGGAAAAGGCTTTGTGCAGAGGGCTGGAGGTCTCTTAGCTGACAGTTCCAGTTAAGAAAATATTTCTCTCGTATTCTTACCTTTGCATGGCCTTGCAAAGAGCTTGCGGTGTCCAGGGACTGGCTGCCTGGGCTGTGTTGTCACTTGGGGCATGGTGGCAGGAAAATCAGCTCTTCTGTGGAGGAGTTGCTGTTTAACTTCTCGGGATTTCTCAGCTCTTCCTGCAAGTGACTCTTCCCTTGTACCTGGACCCTTCCATTTCTGGTCCTGCTACATTTTCTCTAGTTAAAAAAAAAATTATTCTTTCCTGGACCTCATACTAAACATTTACGGTCTTTGTGACAAGATCTAATCAGGAGATGCTCACAGGATGCCCTTTGAGGCTGAAATACCCATTTAAAAAATTATCATTATTATTTTTTATTCCTAGGCTTTGCCAAGCAGGAATGGCAGCCAGGAGGGACTCAAGCTGTTTTTGAAGGAGCAAAGCTTGCACGTGTCCATCCCCTGTGTCCTTGAGGCTGCAGGACAGAGCACAGCAGCCTGGCTCTTCCCTGCACTGTATTGCAACCCTTCATAAAAAACCAGCTGCTGCTCTGCGAAGGCAAAGCCTTCAGATGGGACCAAACCTGTCTGCCCACGTGAGATGTGGTAGAGCACAAAGGGCCCTACTCTTCCTCCTGCTTTTTGCATGCCTGGTGCACCATCCCGCTCACAGCACCTCACTGCTTGGGAGCCACCACCTCCCATGGCCTTGCCACCCTCCAGAACACGAGTGTGCCCGAGGCACTTGCCTTCACAGCCGGGGGGCTCAGGCTGCTGGAGCTGTGTCCTGGTTCCCAGCTATGAGGTGTGGAGAGTATTTATGCGTTTGCTCAGGACACAGAGGAAGCTCCTGGAATCTGGGACAATAGAGGAGGATGCACATCGGGAATGTGGGTTTGTTTTTGGAAGCAAGTGGGGATTTTGTTGAAATCCCTGAGTGTTGCAGCTCTGGTGGCTGTGACAGTTCCCGGAGCCAATGCCAGCAGACTGCCTGTCCCCACACTTGAGCCACAGAGGGGGTTTGGGCTGGGACTGCAAACGGGGCCTGAAGAGAAGTCCTGTCCTGGGGACACTGAGTCCCAGGAGCTGAGACAGACCCAAGCTCCTGCTGGTGGGAGCAGCGCCGTGGTGCCAGCAGGAGTGGGCACACACTCTGCTGCATCCCTCAGCACTTGGAGCTGAAAGGACAGGGAAAAGCATTATTTAAACCATTCCCAGGAAACTTCTTTAACCCCATGAAGTGGGATGGGAATTAATTTTTTTTTTTATGTCCAAGTTATGGCCTTATCTCTCTGCGATCCTGGGTTTATCACATCTTTCCAGAGTTCCTGATGTTATGTTTGAGGCTTGTATGGCAGCCTGGGGCTGGCCCTGCTCCAGGAATGTGCTCCTTGCTTTTCCTCTTCTTTCTTTGCATGAGTGTGATTGTACCAAACTCTTTAGTATTTCAATGTGTTCTGTGCAGATTTTTTCCCTGGTTAAACTCCACTTCAGTCATCCTCAGCCCCTCAATTAAGGGGAGCAAAGAGGTCACCCACCCAAGTCACCCAGTTACGTGTCTTTGCACACAAAGATAAATGTAAGCTTGTTAAAACGGAAGACTATAGTTAGCAACACACACTCAGTCATGGCCAAGTGCCATGAGAAGAATTCGTTATTTTCAATAGCTTGCACTTAACAGAAAATAGCTGACCTCTCCTCTCTGCTGAGGAACAGCAGTGCGGGTACAGCCATCACTGTTCCAAAGCGTTGCTAACCCAGCTGCTGGCTAAACAGATCACACACAGTGTGCTCTTGAACATTGAAAAGATTGGTGGCTCAACTGCCTCTCAGTCGCTCAGCTGGGTCTGAGTTTTGCATTTTTTCTTCCTTGCCAAACAAATCCTCCAGAACTGCCTCCTGTCTTGCTCCCAGGCTCATGCCCATGTGCGTTTTGGTGCTGCTTCGGCGGGGATCCTGCTGCGCCTGCTTTCCTCTTCCAGCCCTTCCAACACCACCTCTCCTTCTCCCAGCCCCTCCCCAGTGTGGCAGGCTGTGCCCCCCACCTTTGGGTGAGGCCCCCCTACATTCCAGCACTGACAGCAGCCTCTCCCTGGAGCTGCCACTGGGCCACCTGGGTCTGAGTCCCCTTCTCAGTCCTCTGTGCCCCTTTTCCTATTGTCTGCCTGTCCTCACAAACAGTTACGGTGCTCCCCAAGGTTACTGCTCTTCTTGTGTCACCTCTGAGCTGTCCCTTGGACCCTCTTTGCCAGTCCCTTGTCCTACCTGCACTTCTTAGTTGCTCCCTCCATGGACACGCTCATCTTGCTCTGCTCCCGGTGCTGCTGGGCTCTGCTGCTGCTCTCAGTTCTCCCTTTTATGCCCTGTTTATGGATGACACCTCTCTGCAGTTGCTGATGCCCTTGGTGATGACAGTGATTTGCAATTTTGTCCCTGTGCTTATGGTTTGACATTGCAACTGCTTGGGAAGAACAGGGCTGCTTCTGTGGTTCCCAGCCTGAGCCAGGGCATGGGATGCTGATGTGGCTGTTCATGTTGCACCTTAAATCAAATAGGGAAACTGATGTTGTTTTGATCAGAAAATACCAAACAGCAAACCAGATGTTTTCAGAACACAGGGTTTTCTAAGGATCCATTTGCAGGCACGCTCTTGGCAGTGGCCTGCCATGGTCTGGTGATGGTGGGAGAGCAGCAGGAACTGGTGCCATGGGCAAAGGTGGTGTGCTCTGCTCCCAGCTGCTTCTTGGGTCAGGGTGAACTGTTGTATGGTGATAGTCAGGGCTGGGTGAGCAGATCTGCCTGAAAACTGACCTATGCTACAAAAGAAGTGGCTTTCACCCGGATCAGCTTCCCCAGCCAGCCTGTCTGTGGTAGCCTGACCATCAGCCCTCCGTGAGCCTGCGTGGAGGTCAGCATCGCACGGTAGATGTGGCAGGGGAATTGCACCTTTTCAGAGACAGTTCACATTTATTTTGGGTTGAATTGACATTGTCCCTAGCAATTTTGAATCCTCAGAGAGTTTGAGGAGCAGTCTGCTTTTTAGGGCTGCATGCCAGACTGCTCAGCACTGAATACACCCACGGTTTTCCTAGCAAGGAGGTGCAATGTGCAATTAAACACACCCCCGGACTTGCCTGGTGATAGGAGACGTTCTGACCTTCCTCAGAAAGCCAGGGCAGAGCCAAAGGCTGGGCTGACCTGCCAGGAGCTGCCTCCTGTCCCATGACCATGCCAGCAGGGCTGGGCACTGGAGCCATTTCGGGCACTGCAGTGCTGCCACCATCACCTCTGATCCTTCCAAGGACCCAAGAGGGATGCAGTGGGATCCCCCTTCTCCTGCTTCTCCTGTGATAGTGGCTTCTGTTGTCATGCCCTTGCTGGGAAGCAGCTGGAGGTTGTGCCAGAGTGAGCTCCTGGAGGCCTTGGACCTGCCCTCTTTGTACGGCTTTTATTAATGACAAAAAGTACCTTGGGCCTCCTTCCTGCGGCCTCCACAGACACAGGGTAGGGGGCCATGACCTGGGGGGTGTGAGCAGAGTTGGGAGCCATGTGTGGTTTTTATCTTGGTTTTCGGTTTCATGCTGAGCACACCACTTGGGACAGGGTCACTTTGGTGGCAGCATCTCTCCTTTGCAGAAGGAGACCTTGTTGGGGTTTGAACCCCCTTCTGTTTATCTGGACGATCCGAAATGGTTTTGGTTTTGCTGAGCTCCTTTGCTGTCACTGGGGCCAGCTCTTTGGGGTTGGTGTGTCAGTGACAGAGGCCGACGTGCCGAGTGTGAGGGCTGTGCAGCCCAACACCTCTGCATCAAAGCCATCCCACTGATCTGCCTGAAAACCAGTCCTACAGCACTGCCTGCCTTGCTCTCGCTGAGCCCTGGGCTGGGCCAGTATGGGTGCTGCTGAAGGGACCCTGGGGCTCAAGGGGCTCTTTGGGGCTGCGGAAGGATTGTGGATTGTCCATGGGGTCACCTTACACCCTACTGTGGGCTCTGCCCCATCAGCCAGGGGAGAGGGGGAAGAGCCTGCAGTAGAGATGTCTCATCCACCAGTCACTCCCCACATTTATCTTTTGGACAGGCAATTGTGGGCTTTGAGCAGGGTCTGTGAGACCCAGAGGTCTGTCTGCAGGCAGGCACTCACATGGCTGCCCACACTGTTGGGAAACAGGGCTTTGGTCTCCTGAGGTGGAGCGTGCAGCTCCCAAAAGGAGCAGATCCTGCTCTGCAGATCCTCGCTCCTCTTGAAAGCAAGTTCTTGTGCTAATCTCCCAGGCACCAGCACTCCTGTGACTGTGCCAGCTCTTGATGTGAGTTATCCCAGCATCAGCAGACGTGCTCGCCTGCCCTTGGGCTTGTTGGGTCCAGGCTGGTGGAGGTGACCTCCCGTTCCCTGTGCCAAAGAGCTGCTCTTTTGTCTCAGCCCCATCTCAACCCCTTCCCCTGGCTTCTCCTGAACTGGTTGGATTGCTGAACGGCCCCGAGCAATGCTTTGATCTGCAGTCAGGCTGCCTGGCCCAGTGGCAGCAGCTCTGTGGGACTCCCAGACAACCCGTTTGCCTTGAGCCTCTGGCCCAGACTAACGTGGCTCTTGTGTTCCTGCAGCTCGGACTGGGTGGAGATCATCGAGCCCCGCTCCCAGGAGCGGATGTATGTCAACCTGACCACCGGGGAGTGCGGCTGGGAGCCCCCCCCCAACCTGAAGGTGCGCCAGTCGGACCAGAAGCAGTGGTGGGAGCTCTTCGACCAGAACAACAACCGCTTCTACTACTACAATGCCATCACGCGGCAGACGGTGTGGCACCGGCCCCAGGGCTGCGACATCGTGCCCCTGGCGCAGCTCCAGGCCATGAAGCGCAGCTCCCAGCCCGGCCGGCAGCACCGCGGCAGCACCGGCAGCGACGGCCGGAGCACCCCCGTCCACATGGCCCTGCTGCAGGACATGGAGAAGGGCAAGTGGGACTGTGCGGGGGAGAAGAGGAAAGACCCTTCTGGCAGGTAAGGAGAGCGTCAGCCTTCTCTGTTTATATCTGAAGAGTGGCTTGAGCTGCCAGGCAGGCCCTGTCAGGCAGGGTGGGAGGCTGTGCTGCCCCAGGAGGCTGCAGCGCTGGGGCAAAGTGCTGCCAGGCCCCTGATCACTGCTGCGTGCCCTCCTCCTGCCAGGGTACAGCTGTCTGCTTTCACCTCTGTGATACTACTTGAATATCCTGGCTTGGGCCAGGCCCTGTTTGTGTGAGACACCATAGAAAGACACATCAAAAGATAATTATCACTCTTTGTGCTAAACAGAAGGAGAGGGGACAGGCAGGAGTGTTGTGCAGTGACAAGAGCTCTGTCAAAATCTCACGACAGGGTTTGTTGGGATGGTTCAGCTGCTGCGTGAGGGGTCAGGCTGCTGTGGGGTGTGGGTGAGCCTGGCTGCTCTGGCTCCTTCCTTCCCCACTTGCTGGCTGCTGGCATGCTCTTGCAGCTTCAGCCAGAGCAGGAGGTGGGATTGCAAGGACAGAGCTTCTGGACGCAGTTATTTGGTCACACCAAACCTGAAATGAAAGAACAATAACGGGGTGCTATTTTGTTTAGCTAAGAGATTTTTTTACACTCAAATTAGTCCGACAGCAATCGGGGCTTTTTTACTGTATTGAAACCATGCCAACTTCAGGTGCACAAAAGCATCGGCTCCCCAGTCTCTGGCAGGGTAGTCCCTCCACCTGGGACACTCTCTGGGGCTGCCCTGCCTCCCTCCTGCCCTGGGCATCATCCTGCCCTGGAGAATGTGGTGCTGACAGCTGGGGAGGCCATGCAGCAAGCAAAGTTGGGTCATACTCAAAAGTGACTCATCCAAGGGTGAGAGCAGTGCCAGGGTGAGCCTGACTGTCCTGCCATCTGTGCCATGGTGCCTTGTCCTGGTTCTGGGCAGTGCAGCAGGTGAGGCTGCTTTAGCAGCTTGGTTTTGGGATCGAGGCTGCCTCTCTGTGTGCCTGGGGCAGGCAAGGAGAGAAGAAAAAAAGCCAAGATGATGAAAACCACGTAAGATGGCAGTTCTGGAAAGTTTATGCACCCTGAAGTGAGGCTTATCACTTGTCTCCTGCTCCTTGCAAAACACTCCTGTATTCAGTGCTGATCTTAGTGGCTGGGAGACACTGGTGATGCACATAAAGTGCACCAGAGAGAGCCCAGAGCTTTACTGGTGCCTCTAATGCTCTCAATGCCTCCTGCCTCTCTGAGCTTGAGAGTCATCCAGAGAATGATTCCTGCCCTACCAGGAGAAGTCCAGTAAAAAATGCCTTAAGCTGAACCTGAGTAGCTCCCAGCTCCCAGTGTCCACAGGTGAGTCGCAGGCACATGGGATTTGCCATGAGGCAACTGGCTTCCCTTCCTCGTCCCTCTGCAGCCTGGCACTCTGGGGCAGCCAGGACAGGCACTGCCAAAACTACGTATTTCCAGGGGAGTCAGTGCAAGAGCCCAGATAGGGTGTAAGATATCCTGAGCTCCACGGAGTCCAAAGTATTCCTGACTCATTCTCTCAGGAGGGAATGTGGCCGCTGGCCGCCTCTGCCTTAGTGTGGGGAGTTGCTGTGCCTCAAGGGAGAAAAGATGCCAGCTGTGACCCACCTCTCAGCTCTCCAGCCCTCTCAGCAGGGAAGACCCCACACATGTCCCCTCACATAGGAGGACTGGGGTGATGTAATATGGGCAGGGGTTTGTTTTACCTTTCCTTGCCAGCCAGGCAGTGTCATCATCACTGCTGGTTCTCCTGCAAGGAAGGGGAGTGGGAAGGAGTCCTCCCTTACTCCATCCTTAGCTCAGGTTTCTGCAGCAACCCTGGGGCACTTTGAGCCTGAAACGAACTCTAAAGGGCAAGTACTGGTAAAGACATGAGTGGCAGCTCGCTTGGGAGCTGACAGGCTGCTGGACATGCAAGGCTCTTCCAGATTCCCACACCAGTGAGTGTTTGTGGAAGCTGCTTTCTTGGAAGCAGGAGGCTGTGCTTGTTTCCATGCACATCTATCCGGTGTCGTCTCTGCCGTGTGAGCAGGGGCTGCGTATCTGGTTACCCAAGTCTGACACTCGAGGAGAGATTTCTTGCCTTTTGCAAGCTCATTAAAGGGGGAGCAAAAGCTGAGCCACAAGCAAGTGCTCCCAGGGGATCTAATGCCCTTGCTGGGATATCTGGTGTACTGACAGCATAAGCACACTGAGCCTCCTAGTTCTGTTGTCTGTGTTGCTCTCCAAAGACAAACTCAAGCATGTCCTCTTCCTCCCCTCGGAGGGATGCAGCTGCATAAACACAGGGTGAGCACGTTGAGTGCTGTTGGTAGCATTTGACATCTTTATAGGTACCTGCACCCAGGACGGTTTCGCTTTTGTCTCTTAATGCCAGCACAAAAGATGTTGTTTTTCTTTCCTTCATGTTTGTCATCTTGTGATAGATGGAGAGGGAAGAGACCAGTGTAGTCCCCAAGAGGGGCCCCCTGCAAGCACATGCCACAGAGGTCTGGGGGAAGGGATTTTGTCCTTTTTTTAGTAATAATTTGTGGTTGAGGTTTTTTGTTTTAGTAGACTGTTCTTTACCACCTTTCCTCTCTTGAGCCTTCTATCAGCACTGCTGAATTTGCTCTGCCCGCTGCCACATCTCAGTGCTGCCAAGCCCTCTGTGTGCTCTCGGCAGCCTCAAGCAGAACAGAGATGCTCCCCACACAGGTGGACGCTGTGCTCACACCTTGCTGCCCATTCCCTCTGTCTCCATGCCCATCCCACCCCTCATCACTGCCCCACCACTTGCTGCTGCTCTTCCAGCTCTCTAAAGCTCAAAGCTGCCTTCTCTAGACATTGGCCTTTGACTCTCCGAGGTGACACAGGGGGTCAATCCCACCCCCGCAGGGAAATGGCAGCTGCTGCTGTGGGGGAGTCACTGCTGCCTTTGGCCATCCTTGAAGCCTCCTGGGGAAGCTCCTCTGCCTGTGCTCTTGTTCCCATGTTGATTTTCAGCTGCCCAGCCCGGCACTGGCTCTTCTTTTCTCCCTTGCCTGACAAGGATAGCAGGCAACACTTGCCTCACAGCTCCAGACCCTTCCTGAGCTCTTGGAATCCTAGCAGGAAGGAAGATGGGCTCTCTTCAGGGAAGGTGATAGCCAAATTATCCTTTCACACGCTGGAGAGCTCTGCAAAGGATGGACATGTTCCCTTGGGGACCATGAGACCAGCCCGGGGCTGAATGCAGCATTTTGGAAGTGTCCTCTGAGCTACTGCAGCCGTGCTGAGGTTTGCTGGAACTCCTCGAGGCAGCAGGACAGAAAGGGCTGAGCATGGCAGAGGGCCAAGGCCTGAAGAAGACAGTCTGGTTGGGAGTGGAGCCTGTGTGCTGGTCTGCAGCATTTTGGCACGCTGCTGGTCAGGGCTGAGAGTGGACTCTGCCGTCCCAGCCCCGCTGTCCAAGTGGACCAGCTCCTTTCCTCCTCTTCCTCTAGTTCTCCCAGCATCAGGGACATGTTTGAGAGTGCTGTTTCTGAGGTTCTCCTTGTGATAACAGTGAAATTTAAAATCCTCCATATAGAAATCCACCTTCCCTAGGAACATCCTATCCCCCAGAAGAGGAAGGTGAGGGTCTCCTGTGTGGGCAGCAGGTTGTGCTGCTCATCCCTTCCTGGCCCACCTTTCCAACAGCTCAGTATCCTGGGCTGGCAGGGAGTGAGGGCTTGGTCTTACAGCACCAGGAAGGTGTGTTGGAAAAGGGTGTGATGAGAAGGCAGCTGTGACAGTACCTCTGCCTCTTAGTCTGGTTTGCCTTATGATGGGCTCACATTTCTTGGGGCATAGCATAAGTAGCGCCAGTATTAAGTTCTTCATAACCAGGCAAGAAACACTATCAGAATCCTTAATACAGGTTTGTTTCCTTCTTGTGCCACCAGCCTTGGGGTAGGGTGTGCAAACACGCTGTGCTCTGCACGTGTCTGCAGCGCTGTCCTCAGAACTGTGCAGGCCTGGGTTTGGGTGGGTCACACCCCTGCCCCCCGCGCGGGCGCTGCAGACATCCCAACACCCCTGTCCACTCACCTCTGGCACAGCACCAGGAAAATCACTGCTAGAAAGGACAGAGCTGAGGTGTGGGGTCTTTTCTCCAGGCTTCTGGGAGGGAAAAAGCAAACAATGGAGCTCTGGAGCCTGAGAAGAGCTGCCGGATACGCTGGGCCTGCTGGAGCTGGGTGCGGGCTGGGAAAACTAACACCAGGTTGGGGTGTTTATGTTGGAGCTACTTGAAAGCATTCCTCACAGGGAACAGTCTCAGGGGACTCTCAGGGTCTCTGCTGCTGGTGGCTGAAGAGCACAGCTGAGAGACTGTGTTGGGATACTTCTCCACCACTGGCTTTGCTTTCTGTCAGGGTTTTCACTGTTCAGAAGGACAAGGCTGAACCTTTCTCCATGCTGGGAAGTCAGGAAGTCCCTGTTCTCTGCTTTGTCTTTTCAGCAACCTGGGGATGGGGTTGAAGGAAGCTGTATCCAGACATGGCCCCAAGAGATTGTTCATGGCTGTGGAAATGGTTCTTTCAAAAAGTCTTGTCCTCTCTATAATGATGCCTCTTTCCTCTCATCTTTGGCAGCCAAAGAGGCTGGAAATGGCACAATGTGTCCAAGATGAGACTGACAGGCAAGATGGGGTACAGCACATGTTTAGAAGTTTTCCTTTTCCGTCACATTTATTTACAAACCTCCTGGTCAGTGTGGTGGCCCTCAGTGACACATGAGTGGCACAGCTTCCCTGTCTCCTCTGACTCCACTCCGATGCTCCCCCATGGATATCTCAGCAGAACCCTGCAAGGATGCTACTGTGGCACAAGTGATCTGAGTCCTGAATGCAAAGCTCCTGGGTGCAGTACCTTCTCCTTGAAGTCAAAATGGGCAGACAATGGGCATTGGGGTGCCCTGGGGAGGTACCAATACCCACTGGGTGCCTGGATTGGTCTTCACATCTCGAATCACAGCCAGGGAGGCACGGTGGCACAGTGGACTTGCTTGCTTTCTGTTCCTTGCCTCTGGCTGCACCTTTGCCCCTCATCCTGCATGAGCTGCAACAGGTCCCAGGGCTGTTGTCCTACAGCCCTCCTGGAGCCAAGCCCCCCGATGCCTGGCCCCTGGCCCCTGGCCCCAGCACGGGGCACGTGGGTGCTTTGCCTCTTGCCAGTGCCCATGACAGGAGAGCTGTCACAGTCCCAGGTGTTTGTGCTGTTCCTTGAGAAGGGCAGTGTCAGAGGGTGCCCTGGGCTCTGCTGGCTCCAGGGCTCTGCTGGCTCCAGGGCAGGCTTGGTCCCAGTGTGCAGTTTGCCCTTGGCCTGAAGGAGGGAACGTGTTGGGGCGTGGACTGCAAGTGCCAAAATCCTGCTGTTTGTGGCAGAACTGCTTACTCACCACCTGCTGTGGCTGACTGTCCAGCTCCTCTTGCTGTCCTGCAACTGGGCTCGGGGCAGCTGCAGGGAGAGCCCTGTGCCAGTGTGGAGTTCCTGCCACTCTCCACCACCTTCACCCACGTGGCCAAGTCTGTGCTGAGGCCACGTCCTCCCATCTTGGGCCCAAGGCAAGGGACGACTTCCAGCCTGATGAAGCGACTCTGGACAATGAGGAGCTGTCATGCTTTGGTGTGCCTGTTGCCCTTCGGCTGGCACGGGGTCACAGGTAGACAGCTTGCTTCTGTGGGAGGCCATGAGCACAGCATCCCCTTTTCTTTTTCAGATCAAATCCCTCATCGCTCATCGGAGGGCTAAAATCTGGGCTTTGCTCTATTTCATAGAGCAGGGGCAGAGGTTGTTGCCAGTTGGGATCCCACGGGACCCTAAAGTCATAATGCCGTGCTGGAGCAGGAGCCCGTCTCTGGTGGCCAGGCTGGTGTGCTGTGCAGATGCCCAGCCCCACACCTGAGCGAGGAGGTTGGGATGTGCCAGGGCTGCTGTGTGGGTGTGAACTGGGACAGGAGATGGTGCCAGTTCCTGCCGTGCAGGCAGGGAGAGGCTCCTCCCTGTGGCTCAGAGCTGAGCAAGGAGGTGGCACAGCTTCGGGCAGAGGTCGCTCCGGGTCACCGGGGGGTTGGTGGCACTGCAGCAGCCACTGCCAGTGCCAGGCGGTACCAGCACACGATGAGCCTGCACAGGGTGACAGGTCTGGCCATACCAGAGGTGGGTCTGCCAAGCCTTGGCCAAGTGGATGTCTCAGCTGCTCAGAGCTGGTTGGACATGCAGTGCTGCAAGTCAGAGAGAGGAAAAACCTCAGGAAGTGGGATGTGGGGTCCAGAGCCTTCCCACAGAGCGCAGGTTTGTTTTCCAGCCCTGCCATAGCTGGAGTCTTGCAAGGCAGGGGGACACACCTGCAGCTCAGGGCTACGGCCCTGCTGCCCTGTGCCCCAACCAGTGTGCAGTGCTGTTCCAGGCACAGTGCTGCTCTGGCTCTAGGGCTGAGCTACACTCCCTCCCGTCTCTCACTCTTGGCCTGCTGCTGAGTCAGGAGCCCGTGGGTGGCTCTGTCCTGCTTCCTGTTTGACAGTCTGTCTTCTGTGCTGCTGGTACAGCCGTGGGGGTGTCAAAAATACCCACTTGAAAGCCTACGGAGTGTGGCTGCTCTGGTTCTTCCTGTTAGTCCAGGAGCTCTTCGAGGAACAGCCAGATCTTCAGCAGTGCTTGTGTTTGGGGTTGGGGCTTGGCCACACGCAGGACAGACACACTGGTGCGAGCAGCAGGCCCTGTGTCCTGCAGGGAGGGATGCCTGGTGGGTTTTGGGGCTGCATGTCCTCACAGATGCCACCCCATCCTGCCATCAGCACCTTTAGAGTAAAACCCTTTGTACCTTAGTGGGAGATGCTCAGGAGGTCCCAGAGCAAGGGAGACCCCAGGGTGGAAAGCAGAGGGTGGCAGCCCTTTCTCAGCCCTCTCTGCTTACTGGTTAGTTGTACAAGAGAGCTGTATGGGCTCTGCTGTGGGAAGGGAGCCAGCCCTTCAAAGGGAAGGTGCAGCCAGAGGGTGGTGAGGCCTTTGGACCCTGGCCAGGGGTCAGCCCTGCACCCGTGGCAGGGCAGTGCCAGCCGCACCCACACCTCTCCTGGTGCCGCTGTGCCAGGGTGGGATTTGTGGTGACACGGTGCCATCAGAGAGCATGGATTGCCAAAAACATGGTAAGCAGTGGATGGGGAAGGGGCACACCACCCCCTTAAGAGGGCAATGATTGGGAGCAGATGTGGGACATTGGGTGTGGGGTAGACGATGTGGGGCAAGTAACTGGGGTGGAGCAGGTGAAACAGGACACCCACAGATGCACTGGTGGGATGGCCATGGGGGAGGACAGGCACAGCACCCGAGGGAAGCCGTGCTGAGGGAGGGGGCTGGGACCCAGCCAGGTGAAAGGGCTATGGAGAGCAGGAGAAAGGGGCAAGAGGGTTGGGTACCTTGGGGCTTGGCAGGGCAGGCACAGGAGGGGCTCACATTGGTGGGAGGCAGCTCTGGATGTGCAGCAGAGGTGGGTCTGTCTGCCAGCACAGGGCCCACAGAGGACAGTGTGGAGAGGGGAGCAAGCTCAAGGTTCAAACAGAGCAAAATGGCTGTGAAGGTGTGAGGGGAGCATCTCCTGCCACAGACAGGACACGTGCAGTGTGCCCTCAGGCCTTACCCAGTGGTGGCTGGTTGCAGATACGTGGAGGTAAGGAATGAAACGGGGCCAGGTTCAAGGAGACCTTCCTGGGGACAGTGGTGCCTTGGAAAACCTGGAAGCTCGGGCTGGTTTAGCAGCTTTTCCCTTCTCCTCAGAGCTCACAAACACAGACTGGCTGTGGCTGCCCCTGACAGCACGTTGTTGTTCTGCTGCAGAAAGTGCCCTCGGAACTGGGGTGTTGCAGTTGGGTTGTGATCCTGAGAACCACCATGGGTCAGAGGAGGGTTTCACAGCCATGAGAGCTGAGCAGGGCCAGTTGGTTTGGCCAAGGGAACCAGATCTAGTGCATCAGGACTGGGAGGAGGCTTGGCATGTTGTGTGGGAGTGTAACATGTCCTATGAGCTGAGGATGGCTGCCCCCATTCACTTCCCATAGACCTCATAGGTTTTTCTGCAAAATAAACATGCATCTGGAAACTTAAATCAACAAAATAGCGTGGTCTGGAAGGACTGTCATCATAATTGGATAATCCGAAGGCAGATACTTGGGATTATTTTCCAATTTAATGTTTGAGTGGTCCAGGATAAGTTGCTAATCTCCAGCTGGTTGTTCTGGGTGCCATGCTGGCTGCTGAGTTTGGGAAGTGTAGGTTGTGTCCTATCTCAGTGCTGCTGATACCAGACAGGTTATAATATCATGAACTCATTTCATCTCGTTCTGCTGTTCACAACTCAGAAATTTATCATGTGTGTAACAACAGTGATGTTCTGTTTCAGGAAGGGGGATCTCCAGGAAAAAATAACATGCTGATGTAACTGGCTGGGGAATCTTCAGGCGCTTTGAGAGGAACTGTGTGGTGTTTGTGTAGATGTAGAGGGTACTCCAGTTAATACCATCCTTCAGTAATTGCTTGTATTTGTATCTTTCTTCTTTTAGGGAGACTCCTACCCAGTGGCAGCCTCTGCCAGGCACAAAAGCAGCCATGTTGGTCAAAGTGAACAGTTTGAGGCAGATACAGAGCTTTTCAAACAGTTCACTTCAGCTGCAGAGCGCTCCAGAGCCCAACAGCCCAAAATCTCTTCCAAAACCAGCTATATATGCTCAGCCTCAATCCAGGTCCCAGAGCCCTGGAGCGACGAAGCAAACAGGAGACACAAAGCAGTCTATGCAGATCAAAAAGACGGAGAACGGTGGGTTTTGCCTGGTGCTGATGAATGGCCCAACTTCTCAAACACCTCCCAGGAGCCGGACAGGAACCCCCCAGCCTGCATCCCCCAAATATGCCTCCCCTGCACCCATATACGATGAGCCATCGCTGGAGTCGCCAATTTACGACGAGCCACCAGTGGACATGGACACAGAAAGCGCTGCTGTGAGTGGCACGTCTCCACCAAGGTCACCAAGCAATAGCTTAAAAAAGCAGCTGCAACCAACCAAATTCTTGCAGCATCCCAGTATGCAACAGCAACAAGCTGCAAAGAAGCATGCAAGAAATCCCTCTTCCACTGAATACAGCCCAGCTGGCAGGGAATACATAAAACATATGGTCAATGTTGACCAATCTGCCAAACTCTCCCACTCTTCTCCTGCAACAGCTGATGCCTCCACTAAACTGCCTGGTCAGCTTGCTTCAAAGGACAGTTTCAAGCAGTCTTGGAGGATCTTGGAAGCCAACGTCCTCAAGAACATGGAACTCCACCACAGTCGTCAGAACAGCCTGCAGACTCAGGAGTACCCAACTGGTATCAGCCACCAGGATTCTGGTTATTCGACCGGCCCTTCTCCAAGCTTGAGAAAAAGGAAAGGAAGGAGGCAAGGAACAGGTCAAGTAAGACCTGGCTCTGTGGGCAGCAGCAGTGAGCTCACAGCTCTGAACGATAAAGTGATCGCTGAGATGCGCGCAGTGGTGGGCAGGTCAGCAGCTTGCAGGGGAAGCAAAGCCAGCCTGGATGCTGAGAGCCTGGAGAGTGGCGTCCCAGCAGAGAGCAGCAAGGTCAGGTTTCAGTCTGACCACTTGAAAAAATGCATCAGCCGGAGCTCCAGGGACGACGTCTCAGCCAGCAACAGGTCTCTGTACAGGCAGGGCCTGGAGATGAGGGAAGGCTTTCCCAGCGATGCAGCTGCTCTGCAGGACACAATGAGGCAGAAGAGGACTTTTGAGAAAATAGATTCTTTAGAAAAGAATGTGACCAGCCAGACAAGCTTGGCTTCGTCGGATGCCACCCGCCACTCCTCACAGGTACAGGGAATCGAGGGCCTTGGCTGGACTGTCGTGGTGCAGAACTGCTCCCGAGGGGGGTTAGTTCAAAACACGTCTTGGCCTGCAAAATAGGAAACGGGTAACAAACCTTCACAGCTTTGCAGGTGGAGACCTCATTTCAGGCCAGTAGTGTGAGAGGAGGAAGAGTTGCGGGGACTAAGGGCTCATGCCCAGCATGCCCTCAGCACTGCTCTGTTTTTTGGGTAAATCTGCTGCCCCATCAATTTACTGTCACCCGTGTCTTTGCTGGTAGCCCTTGCCCCTCGTATGTCCCTCCTTTGCTGGGATGATCTGAGTCAGTGGGGTGCAGGACACAGCCGTCAGGATTTATGTGGCCATGAGGCAGCAATTCCTCTTTCTTCTTTTTCTGATGACTCCTCATATGCTGTTCTCCCTCCCAATTCCTGAGCATCAAATAGAAACATTTAGAAAACCAGTGTTTATTATTTTAAAGCCCATTAGTGTGCCTGCACAAGGGGCGTAGTTTTTCTCTATGACACAGCACTTCTGTAGAATTTAGTTTGCCAAGTACCTTGCTGTCACCTCAAATCTCTTGGAAAACTGATGTCATGTTCCTGCATTTCCCATTTTTCAGGCACAGAGCCAGATCAAGTTTATTCAATCTACTGTTAATAGTTCAGGAATTTCATTTCACAGCCTCTTTAGACTTGGTGGAAAACTGCTCTCTGGTCTTCCAGCTGTGTTACACCTCATTGCATTGACAGGGAGAGCTGAGACTTGATGTCTTGATTATCCACAAGAGATGGTGGTTTGGGGATAGGCTGTTAGCCTTGAAAATGAAGAAGAATAGTTCATGTGTCATAATATGGGGAAGGAGAATACAGTGGAAGATGTAAGGAGATGAGTGTTGTGATAAAGGCAAAGAGTCAGTAAATAAAGAAATATTCACAGAAATACTCAGACATGTAAGAGTCCAAGTAAGGAGAGGAGGAAGTTGCAGAGAACATGGCAGCAAAATTGCTGCCTTAGCTGAAAATGGCAGTGAGTGGCTCGAGTCATCAGCAATGTCCTGTGCTGGGCCTGTGAGATGGAGAGAAGAACGAGGAGACAAGGACCCTCATTATCTGAGGAGGGTGGGCAGAGGTTCTGAGACAGGCTGAGCTGTGCTGTCAGTACCAAGATAACAGCTGGGGAGCTGTGTGAATGAGATGTGAGAGATAAACTTCAGAGAGAGCAGAGAACCCGGAGCCTGCTGAACCTTGAGAGTTACAAGGAGGTGGCTCCTCAGAAGGAAGATGCTGAAGGAGCAGGTAGGGTGATAGGAGGAAAACCAACCCTGGGCAGGGAAGGTGAATTGAAGGAGTCTGAGGATGTGGAGATGGCAGGGAACTGCAGGCAGGGATTTTTAGTCAGTGTGTTGAGTGAATTCAGAGAGGGTGAGGAAGTAGAGGAGTAACTCAAAGGATACAAAGCACAACGTAGAAAAAGGGGAGAATTGATTGTGCCCCCGGCTGGCAATAAGAGGTGGAATGTGATGTGTGCTAATCCCATCATCCACATGTAGGGACATGTTGGGTGTAAGATAGGGAAGGGTTGGACTGCATAAGCCTCTTTCATGAGTTCAGCAGTTCCTCTGTACGAAGAAGAAAATACTGACTTGCCCTAAACTTCTAAGAACTAATGTGTGGTTTGGGGTTGACTGTAGACCATGTGTAGAGTCTCTGTAGAGCAGAGTGTGGCATGCAAGTTAAAGGTGGTCTGCAGAGAAGGAAAATACATGTTTGATTTCACTATTTCCACTTCAAAACCAAAATTTACTATATGTGTTTTTTGTCTTCCTTTAAAAAGCAAAAAGCTCTAGATTATCTTGTTTGGCTTTTTCCGCTTGCTAGCGATCTCCTTGGAGAACACAGAGTGAAATGTGGGCTCTTTAGCTCTTGGCTGCTCCATGTGGGAATTTCAAGTCTAACAAAAAAGTCCATTTCCTAAAACAATTTTTTGGGTGCTTGGGTTCAATATGTGTCCCAGGCTGCCACTTTCATCCAAAACTAAGAATACTGGATGGGCAAAAGAAGTGTCTTTTCTCTCAAGTAATCATTACTCATGTTTTCTTGGGACCAGTACTACCAAAGCTCTAATGATGATTACTGGGAAAGAAGGATGGCAAGGGCTGCATGTAAAAAGTGCGGACAGAGTCTGGGAGGAAGGAAGGTCTCTGTCTGTGCTGCTGATCTCTGTGAACCTGTGATCAGTGGACTTGTCCCTGGAGCAGATGAGTTTGATAACTGCAGGCTGTGGGTGGGAGCAGCTGTCCCCACTTCTCTGAGAACTCAGTACTGTGAGCAATTCTGATTTAATTTGGGGAAGGTTGTGCCAATGGGGAGCGTGTTGCAGAGGTGTCCCTGAGTCCTGTGCAGCAGGACTTGCAGAAGCACCGGTCTGTAGCCACAGCTGGTGCCTCCCCTGTAGCTGCTGAGGAGCTGGGCTGGTTTGGCAGGAGGCCGTGGTGGGTCTGTGGGATCTGGCAGCACAGGAGATGGCAGCTGACTCACACAGGTACCTGCTCTCCTTCACTTCACCAACTCAAACATGATCTATCCTACCTGGGTGACAGCCTTGCCATCAAAATACCCGTGCCCGTTCTCCTGTGTGCCTCTCAGCTGCTCCTCTCCTGTCTGTGTGTCTCATTAGTCTTTCCAGTAAGAAGGTCATGGTGTAATTGAGATATGTGATTTCAACACCTCTAGTGCAGGGACTGTCCAGGCACAGGCACCTCCAGAGGGTTGCTGGCTGTGTTGATTTGGTTTGGTTTAGTTGGGGGGTTTTTTGCTAGAACTTGGAAAAATAGTGAAGGTAGGAACCAGGTATGGGATTGTAGGGGCCACAGTGGGTAAGGTTGAGAAGGAAACAGTGCTCATATTGCTGTGGCTGGTTAGTCTCTGCTACCTCCTGGTGTCCCCACCTGCCTCCTGGACTCCTGGAGCTCCACAGGAACCGAGAGGTGAGGAGTGGGGAGGTGCTCGGCTCCCCAGTGCTTGGTTGCTGTGGGAGTTGGCCCAGCTCCTGCCTGGGCTGTCCCCATGAGCTCTGAGACAGCTTGGACATTCAGCGCTGTTGCTCCATGTCCCAGCACTTCCCTTTGGGACTGCAGCAGTGTGTGGCTGTGCCAGCCAGGCTCTTGCAGAACTATAGATGTCAGCCACAGATCCTGCACCAAGTCATGTTTGCACAGACTCAGCACTATGCAGTTCCTGGTAGCTTCATGATTCACCGTGGGTAATTTTCCTAGCAGGGTAAGGAGTCACCTAAGCTGCTTTTAACACTTCTGTTCTTCTTCACAGCCTGGGACCATAGAGCTGGACCCCAAGCAGGAGGGCAGTGCCCAGGGCGGGGGCTGCGTGGGATGCCACTTCCCCTACAACACCCTACGGAAGCCCATCTCCCAGAGCAGCATGGCAGACTGGGCCTCCAAAAACCTCAACATGCACACGCAGGGCATCTTCCGCCGCAGGATCTCCATCTCCAACATGCTGTCCTGGAACGGCGGCTCCATCAAAAAGCCCATGCTCATCACCAGCAACCGCACCATCAAAAAAGAGGCGTGTGAGATGTTCAAGCTGGTGCAGAGCTACATGGGAGACCGCCAGACTCGCCTGGACCGCAACCACGTGGCCTTGGTGACGGTCACCAAGTGCTGGAGCATGCAGGGGCTGCGGGACGAGCTCTACATCCAGCTCATCCGGCAGACCACAGACAACATGTGCTACCGGAGCCTGGCGTGGGGCTGGGAACTGATGGCCATCAGTCTGGCCTTTTTCTCCCCGTCACCCAAATTTCAGTCTTACCTGGAAGGTTACATTTATCGCCACCTTGACAGTGATGAAAACAGTAAGTGCCTCATGCACCTCCTCTGCACCCAGCAGCGTCCTGGTGGGTTGTTCCACTTGGTCAGGGTTGTCTGGGTTTTAAAAGTACAGGTAGTTCCCAGCCAGTGCTGTGGGCTCTGTCAGTGAAAGCACAACGTATTGGGCAAGTTCTTCCTTCCTTAGTGGGATGAAGCTGCCATCAGCTCATCCCCTCCCAGTTCTCACTTGTGTCTGACAAAGAAAAGCCAGGCCCAGAGCGTGCTCACCTCATCCATCAGCACTGAAATGAGCTGATTTTGTCCCACCAATGGCAGAGTTTCTTTGGGTTCTCTGAAGACATTTATTTCTAAGTAAGTAAATGAGTAGTAAAAAAGTACAGTCTGAAGACTTTACTTCTAAGTTCCTTAAAGCTGGGGGAAAAAAAAAGGATGATTGTTAATACCTAACTTTTGAAGGGAGCCATTGCCAACACTGGGAACAGGCCTTGGCTTGGCACAGTCAGGGACCCTGAAGAATTTGGGCTTTCGGTGCCGTTTCTCTGTCTTTCAGAAGTCTGGGGACCAGCCCAGCAGGTCCCCAATTTTAATGTGGAGTAAAAACAACAACAGCGCTGACTGTGTCCTGTCCAGTCTCAGGCCAGAAACCAGAGCACTTATTTCCCCTTGATCTGTGAGGGCTTCCCCCTGTGTTTGAAGCCCCCCAGGTGTGTGGGGTGGGTGCAGCTCTGCCCCAGTACTGCCCTGCTCACGTGCACAGGTGGGACCGGGGGCAAGCAGTGCTGAAACGTCAACCCTTGCCTCCTGGTTTTGTGCTTGTAGCCTTAATGTGGGATTCCTTCACTGAACTGTCGGGTGTGCAGCACTAGTTTGGGTTTTATGAGGATCCTCTACCCTTGTCACTTCTCCCCAGACCACCCCCTCCAGCTGTGCTTGGCCCAGAGTGCAGGCAGCAAGAAGGAGCACTCTGAGCTGTCTGAGCAGATTGTTCCTTCTGCTGGTATTCAGGCAGCAAGTTTATTTAGGCTTCTCAACTGTTTGGCCATTTGGAGAACTGAGTGATGTTCTGGGCCCCTCACTCAGTGCACTGGGAGCTGGCTGTGCTGCAGGACCTTTCCCCAGACTCCTCTCGTGCTGGAGTCAGGCTGGCTGCCACAGCCAGGGGCACTTCCAGGCTTTGGTATTTTAATATATCACATTATTAATCCAGATCCTCTTTTGATTCTTCAGTTGCCCAGCGCATCAAGGAGCTTGTGGATCTGAAAAACAAGAAGAACTCGAAATCCAGGAAAAAGAGGAAACAAAACACAGAGGATGAAGGTAAGGGGAGGCACAGGGAGCCAAGAGGGGGGTCTGCACTGATCTCAGGCAGGCAGGGATTCTGAGCTCTGCTGAAAATCAGACTATTTTTTTAAGTGCATAGACCTGGGAAAAATTCCCTGGTGAGTGGCTGGTCCCTGAGCTTTGACCAGAGCGTGGATCAGCAGTGTGGGTGGCAGCTGGGCTGCATGTGGGACACGTGGGGGCCCTTTCAGTCAAACTAATGTGAGAAAAGGGATTTTAATTTGGATGCAGACCTGGGGCTGTAGTTCAGCTGGTTTGTGAATGCCAAGGAGTTTCTAGAGCATGTTCCAGCCACATGAGCCAGTGTGTTGAGAAGATCCTGTCTCAGTCATGTAAATGGATTTTGTAAACCACTGCCTAACCTGAGGCCCTTCGGGGAGGATGGTGTACCTGGGGAAGGACACAACCTTTTTCTCTCCAGTATTGGCTTCCCTTTCTGAGCTCTGACAGCCCAGGGCCTGCACTGGAGTCCCTGCTGAGAGAACAGGAGCTCACACATTCCTCCAGACTCAGTTCAACTGCTGGCTGCAGGATAACACTTTATCTGGCTAAAGTCTTGCTGAACAAAGCCCATTCAGTATTTTTCTATATTGCTTTCAGGAAACTTGAGTCAGCCCTGTGAATTCCTATCAGGCAGCAGTTTCTATCGAGTGGCGTCGGTGTTTGTAATCTGTGAGAGCTGGAGTCCAGCTCCTGCATTCCTGAGCCCTACCTGACACCAGCAGGCAGCTGTGCTCCCTTTGGTGGCTTCCCTGTGTCACTGCTGTGTCACTGCTGTGTCACCCTGTGTCACGAGGCAGCTGCAAGGGAGGTGGCTGGGGAGGGCCCTGGGTTGGAGCCCCTGAACTTCAGAGGGTTCATTGTTTCTCTGTCTCTGCTGGGATTTGGAGCAGAGACCTGAAATTGCACAGAAGTATTATATTTCTGGTAGGAATATGTGTTTTTCCTTTCCTGTTCGTGCCCAGGAGAGTTCAGCCCATTCTGAGCCATTGAAAATTCATTTTTCTTGTGCTCAGAGGGACTTAGGCATCTTCATGGGACAACTCCATGGAGATTGCTCTGTGCAGGGTGTGCTGCCTGTGGGCTGAGCAGGCTGTTCTGTGCAATTATATGTCTATATTGCGTGTGCTGGAGGTCTGCTTAGGAAGATAGGGGTAGTTTTTACCTAAGAACAAACAATAAATTTAAAATAAAAAAAATAGAAGACCAGCATTTGGACTCGATGATCTTTGTGGGTCCCTTCCAACTCAGGATATTCTGTTTTGCTTCTATCATATATATTTATAAATAAGTATATGAAATGTTATGCAAAAGGCATGCCAGGATAACTTCATAAAGTTTCCAGAATGAAGCACTTGAGAGTCAGCCGTGCGTGTGTGGGCTCAGCTGGGGCTCTGGTGACAGGTCACACACACTGTTCCCTTTCATGGAATCACAGATTCATTAAGGTTGGAAAAGCCCTCTAAGGTCATCGAGTCCAACTGTTCCCCCAGCACTGCCAAGGCCACCATTAACCATGTCCCCAAGTGCCACATCCACATGGTTTTTTAACACTTCCAGGGGTGGAGATTGCACCCCTGCCCTGGGCAGCCTGTTCCAGTGCCTCATTACCCTTGCAGTGAAGAAGTTTTCCCTTATATCCAGTCTAAATCTCCCCCAGCACAGCTTGAGGCTGTTCCCTCCTGTCCTTCCCTGTGTGCTCTCTGGCACAGGAGGCTGCTCTGGCAGTGGCTGGGATGGATGAGCTGCTCTGCAGGGGCTCAGCAGAGGAGGCAGCAGGGCTGGCAGCTCACTCAAACCGGCTTTTTCACAGGTGACTGAGAACTCTGAGGACTTTTTCTGGGGCCTGACCTCAGAGTTCCACGTGAAGTAAGGGGAAATCCTGCAGGACCACTCCAGGTTCTATCTGCTGCTGGCTGTAAAGGTCAGGCTGTTCCCTGGAACACCTGGTTCTGCTCCACCAGCCCCATTTGCCAGACGTGTGAGTGGTGGTAGGATCCCTGAAGCTGCAAGGCTGTTGTGAGAAGCTCATTAGTGGCTCTGAAATGTGAAGATGTTTATGGATGATGTAGCAGCAATTTAGCAGAGAAATCCATAAGGAAATTAAATATACTGTCTTCAGTCAGAACTGAGTAGTAGATAAGCAGGCATCTGTGTAAATCTTTCAGTGAAAAATGGAGTTGAAGCAGTGATTTCACACACACACACTCCCTTCAGTGCAGAGGCTTATAAACACTTAGGTGAGTAAACATTTACCATCTGACATACACCCAAAGAAAGAATTTCAAGTTTCCCACAGTTACCGCTGCAATCTTCATCTTCTAGTGTAATTCTCTGTGAGTAAATGAAATATGAAGGTGGTGTGAGATCTTTTCGTGCATCAATAACCCATTGAAAGGCAGAAGAATAATAGGTAGAAATAAATGCTGTGTTTTCAGAAGGAGGATTGTCTGCTGATCCTGCAGGAATGTAAGCTGGGCTTTGGGTTTATACAAGGAGACAAATCATGAGCTGGCAACTCAGTGTTGATACAAAATTATTCAGGACTGTAGAAGTGAAAGGTGCAGAGGGATCTGGTGAGGGTGAGTAACAGAGCCATCAAGCAGCAGAGAACATTGTGTCACCAGAAGCAGGGTTTTACGTGGGGCAGAGGTCCCTGAGTGCAGCAGCAGCAGCAGGCCCTGCTGGTGCCCTTCAGAGGAGGGAAGGACATTTTGCAGCTCATATATGAATTTCCAGAAACACATGCACAGTGCTGGGAAGAGGTCAGAGACCAAACAGATGATGGAGAGCTCGTAGGAAAGGGGCAGAGAACAAAGCAGCCCTGGACTGTGCTGTGCTGTGCCCACCCTGCATGTGCTGCCCGGGGTCCCTCCGAGGCTGATGAGTGACACGGGAGCTGGGCCTGGGGGAGGGAAAAGGGGAGAAGGTTGATGGGCTGAAAGAAACTTTAGGTCACCTGGGGAAAGCAAGAAGAAAATTTCTCACTGTTTGTGGAAGCAGCAGAGCTGGAAGCTGCCTGGTATTGGTGTTGGGCAGCAGGGTCAGAGCACGCTGTCCTGAAGCACAGAATGAAATCGTGACGGGTCAGCGAAGCAGGGGGTGGTGCAGGCTGGGAGCATAAAGAGGCTTAGGAAGAAATGGGACAAATTCGAAGAAGGGAAGTCTGTCTGCTGCTGGTTAATGGTCCAGGTGCAGCGCTGCCTCAGGGTATTGCCCACCTGCTGTTAGCCAGGAGACTTTGGAAGGGGAAGACTCATTTTGCAGACATCTTGTATCTGTTTCTTATCCTGGTGACAGGTGCAGGCTGCTGGCTCATCCGGCCCTTTGGGCTGCTGAATATGGCATTTCCCACATAAGGAATGGTGATGGAGGAGCATTGCTGGGATGCAGAAGGAGGCACTGGTGGTGTGAGGAAAAGCAGCTAAAAGTGCTGTAAAATGGGGGTGCCTGGGCAGATCTCAGACAGGAGAGCAGCACTGCTGGTGCCAAGCCCAGCTGAGCTGCTTGGGGGCACCTCCCCCTGTGCTAAAGAGCGCAGTAAGACAGGATCCTGGTCTCAGACCCTGCCTCTGGCTGAGGTCCAAGAGGCTGTGGTAGATCAGAAAAATATCCAGGCAACAGCTTCTTCCTGTGCTAAAATACATGTCCCATAGGCAGGTCCTGTTTGATGCATTTTTAAGACCTTTTTTGGCAGGAAAGCATTCTAGTCTGTTCCAGAAGGTATATTCCTGCATGTGTCGGGATTTTAACTTGTGTAAAAGGAGAGATTCTTTAAGATGCTCTTCACATGTGTTTCTAGGCTGGCACGTGGAAAAATATTTTCCCTTGAAAACTGTTTTTCACTGTGTGGGCTGTTGATATTTTTCTGTTCCTGAGCTCCTGAGGCTACTGTGGTACCACAGGAAATAACAGATCATCTTTGATTTCTCAGATTCATGATGTGCTCACAGAAGTGGAATTGCCTTCAGGATTAGCCCTTTCCAGGTGGTGCAGACAAAGCTGCCTGGCCCTGCACCACAGGGCATGAGCTGGGGCGTTGGGGGGGTACCTGACCCACATGTTGGGACACCAGGCCGTGTGTGAAGAGCTCGGTGCCAGGAGCTGGGCACTGGCTGAGCGTTCCGGAAGCACCAGATGGTTGGGGCAGTTTGCTGGTTTGGAAAAGCTGAGGCTGAGTTCTGCTCCTCTCCCACATGTTGCTGTCAGCAGCTCACTGTGTGCCTTGTGGCCTCTCCACGGCTCCGCTGCCCATCCCACCCTGCACGTGCCCCGGAGCTGGGAACGCCTGTGCCGGGGCAGGGAGGCCTCATGGCCTCTGTGCTCACCAGGGCCAGTGCTGCTCACCCTGTTCCTCAGGGCTCTGCTGCTTTCTTGGCCATTCAGCTCTCTGGGCAGTATCTCCTCCAGCCTCTCGTGCACGCAGCAAGTCCGTTTTCCAGTTGCCTCACACTTGGTTGGCCTCACCTGTGGCCCCAACAGGCCCCTTTGGGTCAGAGGCTGCAGCTTGGTCGCCACGTTGAGCAGGAGGCCTCGCTGCAGAAAGTGCTGGATGTTTTAGGCTGTTCCCAGGACCAGGGAGCTTCCTGGGAAAGTATGAAACAGGCTTCAAGCAAACATGTCTGCTGCCCACGCATCAGGCTCTGCAAGACACCAGTTCCTCTGCAAACCTTGTTAAGCTTTTGGGGTGATTATGGGTTTCATGGTCTAATTACAGTGTGAGAAAACATTTCCTATTATTAGTTTTGAATGTGCTGCCTCCTGCATAATTGCTGGGATGCAGAGACACGGTCCAGCCTCTTTCCCATCCCCTCTGTAAGGGGTGACACCTCGCTTCGGGGTGTGTCTCACATCTGACAGCAGAAGCTGTAACCTGGGATAGTGAAGCACCACAGAGCAGCTCACTGGGTTTGTTTGCTTTAGTCCTTAGGCATTCCCAGTGTAAATCATGCCTGGGATTATAAGATTTTTGCTTACAGTGAATATTTTGCTTTAGATATTCCTGAGAGAGAAATTCTTAAAACTGGCTTTCCTTCCCATTGCCTGTGGGAGATGGGAATGCTGTTATACCTCCTCTGGCGTGGCTTCAGGAGTGGGGAGAGGCTGCTCCAGCTGTGAGGCAGATTGATGGAGGCAGGGGGTCCTTGTTTCATCATGAGGAGCCAAGGACTGTGGCTTGTCTGATGGCTGAGAGGAGAATGGGGGACAACATCTCTCTCACCTTTGGGAATTGTTGCTCTGCTTGGGAAGAGCTTGACCTCCTTCTGCATTGAGGGGTTTTGAGGACCTCCAAGTTCCCGACCAGCTTACCTAAGCCTTAGGGTGTGTGAAAGGCTGATCTGAAACATGCAGCATCTGACCAGAATGTAGATTTTCAAAGCCACAAGTATTTTGAACTCTGCTGCAAGCTTTAGGCCTGGCAGGGAATCAAATAGGGCAGATCTATTCACTGCTTTCAGCAAGCAGTTTGGGTTTTACTTGAACAAGAACAAAAGGCCAATGGTTTTGGAAAAACTCTCCCAGCAATCAGTGCTCTGTCATTGCAAACATTTCTCTTGGTGTCACGGGGGGATTAGCTCTGTGAATCCTGCCTGTGCTCGCCCTCAGAGTTCACTGAACCAAGCACAGCCAGAGCAGCCACTCTTGTGGAGGGACAGCAGCTTTGGAGGTGCAGTTCCCAGGCTCTGGTGTGTCCCGTGTTCCCCATCTCTCAGAGCAGCCCTGAGCCCCACAGGACAAGGGTTCGAGGAGGCTGCAGGCAGGAGCATGAGGAAGCCTTCTGCATGTCCTTGGGATGCTGACACCCTGCCATCTCCCCACACCTCTCCCTGGGTCCTGAGGTCACTCTAGGTAGTGGTGCTGCCTCTCTGGCCGCACACACCTTTCTCTGCTGCTCCTCTCCCACTGGCCAAGGAACTGAAGTTCTTGGATCATAAGCAATTGGTTTAAAACACTTTATAACCTTGCCTGGCAGAAGGCTGACTGTGTGCTCTGTGGCTGTGGTCTAGGAGGATGTAATTACCTGGCCCTGTGTCTGTGAGGCACTTGCCCTGGCTGTGCCAGCGGGCAGGAATTGGGGGTGTGTGTGTGCCCAGGCTGTGAACGCTGAGCAGGGGCCATGCCCTGAGTCAGGACTGGCTCCTGTGAGGGAGGTGGAGATCTGCAGGAGTGGGGCTGGGAGGGGCAGAGCTACGAGCCTTGACCAAGGAGATGAATGCCTCCAGGCCCAAGCCCCAGCTGGCACTGACCCTGCCTGCCATGGGGCTGGGAGGCTTCAGGGCACTCGGTGCGAGGTTCCAGCAGCCCTGCCCTGCCACACATGGAGAGGGCTGCTTGGGCTGCTTGTGCCAGTCTGAGCTGCTGTGCTGGAGCTCTCTGGAGGGCTCTGGGGTGGTGGGTACATGCTGCTGTGGGCTGACCACTCGTTCCTCTTTCCCTCCAGGTCTGCCCATTAGCACCTATGCCAAGTACTGCTACCGGAAACTCCAGAAAGTGGCCGTCACTGGAGGCAAAAAGGTGAGCAGGGCCTGGGGGCTGCCCGGGGCACTCTGCTGCCCGGGTCCCTGAGCACTCACTCCAGGGCTCAGGAGGTCACCACTGACCCAGTGCTGGGAGATGCAGACAGAGCGAGTGGGGGAGGTTTGCTCAGGCTGCGTCTCCCCCTGCACGTGCGAAGGCTGTGCCCAGGTCCTGTCATCCTCCTGGCAGCTGCATGGCTTGGTGCCCCCTGGCCTTGGGGACAGACACAAACCCGACATGTACTTGTCTCCAGGGTAAGAGGAACTGTGTGCAAAGGATGCCCATCACTTGGTTTCTTCAGGTGAGGGAAGATTCTCCCTTTGCCACTGAGAGCTTGCGTGGGCTGGGTCTTGCAGCTGGTTTACTGCAGAGTTATTCATTCCCAATTCAAACAGTCACACAGCAGAGATGTCTGGTGTGAAGGGCAGCCTCTGTGCTCTGTGTTATCTGAAAATCCTCCTCCCTTCCCTCTGCACGGTTCTCTGTGTGGCTGTGAAAGCTGGCAGGTGGCCTCAGCCTGTCCATTCTGGGTCCCTGAGCCAGATCTGGTCATCTTTTATTTCTGCAAATCCCTCTGGGGCCTCCCTGCCATCTGGACTTCGTGTACAGCAAGCAAATAGCTGAAATATCTCGGGAGGGGTGAAGGCTCCTGGTGTCCTGGCGGGGGCAGGACAGGAAGCCTCTGGACACACAAGGCACACAACTGCAGCCCTGGCCACTGCTTCCCCTGAGGGCTTGGTGGGAACTTCCCCCTGTTGTGCCTCCCTCTTGGCTGCAGGGTCACTGCCAAAGGCCACCGTGATGGGCAGCCTGTCCCCCTGTGCCAGCTCTGCTCCCTGTGCCAGCTCTCCTCCCTGTGCCAGCTCTGACCCCTGTGCCAGCTCTGACCCCTGTACCAGCTCTGCTCCCTGTGCCAGCTCTGCACTCCTCCGAACTGCTGCCACAGGAGATTCAAAGCCCCTCTCAAGTGTTGGTGTCTGCCAGAAGGGACAGGTACTAGTGCCTGCTTTTCAAAAAGTTTTAGCACTCTGAGAGCAAAGCTGGAGTTGGAAATACCTGGAATTCCCTTCTCCCAAGGGTTGTTTTTCAGCTGTCCCTTGGCCAGGCACTCGTCAGGGTACAGATGCCCTCTCCTACCTCCCTGTGGCCAGAGGCAGGCCAGGCTCCTTCCTGCCTCCCACACCAGGTGGAGCAATCCCCTCACAGAATCCCTGCAGAACCACCCAGAACTCTCCAAAGTGGTCTCCTCTGCTCCTCTTGGGCCTGATGAGTAGAACAACTCTTGATGTTAGGAAGTGGAGGCTGTAGAACGAGAACCATGCTGCCAGGAGGCTGCCGGGGTGACCACATGCGTGGGCATTCTTCTCTGTCCTGGTTGCTCCCCCTCTCTAGGTCCCTGTTTCCCTGTGTCTGGCTGTGCCACGGCTGCTCTGAGCTCTTCTCTGTCCTCAGGGCCTCCGCAAACCCACGGTGGAGGAGATCACACACGCCAGGAACGCCATCCTCACCCCGTCGCTCTTCGGCAGCTCCCTGGAGGAGATCATGCTGCGCCAGCAGGACATGTACCCAGGGAACAAGCTGCCCTGGGTGCAGACACAGCTGTCACAGCAGGTCCTGGCCCTGGGAGGGGAACAGACGGAGGGGATTTTCAGGTGAGCTTCTGGGCCACTGCATTACTTTTGAGCCACCCCCGTGTCAGTCCTCAAAGCCAAGGAGTCAAGATTGACCTCCACGTGCTTCCTCTTCCCTGAAAATAGCACTTTGCTGTGGATTGGACAAAATCCAACCTTCCCCAGGTTCAGGAATCACCTCCTGAAGTAGCATTAGCCTGTTTGCATGTGTTAACAGAGGGGACAGCTCACCCGCAGCCAGGCAGTGAGTTCTCATCAGATCCAGCGGTGGTGGTTGGCCAGCTCAGGGGAGGGAGGAGCCCCGGGGTCCCGGCACAGACCTCATGCAATGCAGCACATCAGCCCTGGTGTTGCACAAGGCAGGAGGAGTCGAGAGAGACACAGAATCTGTGTGGTGAACACGGGGCATTCTGCTTTGAGTTGGGTTTTGTTTGGGGTTTTTTGTGTGTGGTTTTGCTTTGTATTTAAGATTTGTGTTAGTTTTTCAGTAGCTAAACATGGTTTAAGGTAGGCAACAAAATGCTCAACTTTGCCTTGTAAGGGTTTCTAATGTCTTGGGATATTTAGCCAGAGATACTGCTCATCTTTGGTCTGAACGTGCTGCAGAGAGGCCTGGTTACAGACAGCAATCCCTCATGAGGACAACAACAGTTGATTCTGACCTAGTGGAAAGGAGACAAGTGTTGCTTCTACCCCCACTTTAAGACTGTGTGTAAAAGCAGGCACCCCCTTCTCTCTGAGGAACTGCTGCTGTAGCTGCTGCTGGTGCCTGCTCCCTCCTCCCCGAGGCCCCAGGGGCAGCCTGGGAGCCACGCCTGGGCAGCTGCCACACCCAGCACATCCCGGCTCGCTCTCAAAAGCACCTTTGCTGTGTCTCTCTTTGCAGGATACCTGGTGACATAGATGAAGTGAATGCATTGAAACTGCAGGTGGATCAGTGGAGGATCCCGAGCAGTCTGAGTGACCCCAACATCCCAGGTACAGCAGTGTGCCAGGCGTGTGCTGGCAGCCTCGGCCGTGGCCGGGGCAGGGGCAGGAGTGGGGGGTGTGCTGCTGCTTGGGGCTGTGTACACAGGCTGTCTGTGCTGACTGGGATATCATGCTGGGCCCTTTCACTGCCTTTCCAAACACTGCCCATAGAGGAAACAGTGGGAATGGGGAGGAACCTCTGGCTCTGGTGCAGTGAGGCTGTGCGAGCTGGGCAGAGCGGTGGGAGTCCCTCAGATCTCATTGTCCTCTCATTTAGGCAGCCCCAGAGCTGCTTCCTGAAGGAGCAGGCAGGTAGAAGCCAATGTTTCCCAATAACTGGCTAGTTTGGCTGCCTGAGTGTTTCAGAGCCAAGACTGAAATAAGGTGAAGCAGCACAAGCACAAAATCCCATCTCTGCCCTCTGTCTCACTGCCAAGTTTGCCCCCGAAGGGGGTGAGGAAGTGACCAGAGCTGCTCTAATGCAACTTCTTTCTGCCCAGCCTCTCTTCTCAAGCTCTGGTATCGGGAGCTGGAGGAGCCTGTGATTCCCCAGCAGTTCTACAAAGAGTGTATCAGCAACTACGAGAACCCCGACGCTGCCGTGGCCGTGGTGCAGCTTTTGCCAGAGCTCAACAGGCTGGTGCTGTGTTACCTCATCCACTTCCTGCAGGTAGGCAGCCCCCACAGCCCTGCTGGCCAGGAGCCTGGGGCATGGTTAGTGGGGCAGCTGTGCTGTGCCATTGGCAGGGTTTTAGGACCTCCTATCTGTATTTAAGGTGGGCTTGAGGGAGGGAGCCCTGCTGGCCTTGTCCCTTATGGGAGCAATAAACCCTGCTCCTGCTGCTGTAGAGCCTGGGGCCCGTTCCCTGCCTGCCAAGGCTGTCAGCTGTGTCAGAGCACAGTGCTCTCCCCCTGGGCATGTGTGGCTGTTGGGGCACTGTCCTTAAGGCAGGCCCCATCTCTGCTCTCCTTGCTCCTTCACTCGCGTGTTCGGACTTCCTTGCCCTTTTCTCCTGTTCCAGCTGAATGTCTTCTTGCTCTCTGCAGATCTTTGCTCAGCCGTCAAACGTGGGCAGAACAAAAATGGATGTGAATAACCTGGCCATGGTGATGGCCCCCAACTGCCTGCGCTGCCAGTCCGACGACCCCCGCGTCATCTTCGAGAACACGCGCAAGGAAATGTCCTTCCTGCGCATGCTCATCGTGCACCTGGACACGAGCTTCATCAAAGGGCTGGTCTGAGCCGCTGGCCCCGGCTCCACACATTGCTCTGGGGAGTTGCTGGGTACCCTAAATCTTCTCCCCTCCACGTAGTTTTCTTCCATTGTCCTTGCTGTTGTCATGCCCTGGGTTAGCCCTTGAGCATCTCCCGGCACACGACCACAAGGACTGGACATTCCTGGAAGGCTCGGTTCTGTCAGCACCAGGAAGTCCTTGGACATGCCAGGTCAGGTTCAGCGGTTCCTGGCCTTCCAGTGTGTGTCAGAGAGGGGCAACCCTCCTCCTGGGAGCCACAAGACTGGTTGCTCAGTGAAAGGGCTGTGACATCTGTGAGGGACTGCTACATGGGGCAACAAGACTCTCCATTTCCCTTCTGGAGGCACAGTTGGCTTCAGGTAGGAGGACATCACTCCTGTGCTGTGGCATGAGCTGGTCCTGGGGGAGATGCTGCCTCACTGGGGATAATCCTCCTGCTAGGGGGCAGCCTGGTTCACCTCTGCAGACTGTTGGCTGGAGGGCTGTGGAGGTGCAGGGGATTTGCTGAGGCAGAAAAGTCCCTCGGGCTGTCGTGGTCAGTGGAAGAACACTGCAGCCCAGGGAGAGGAGGTCTTTGAGCTGCTGCTGCTGGGGGCTGGATGGTCAGACATTCTGCACTTGGGAGCTCTGGCAGGCCAGATCCACAGCATCCACCTCACCTTCTTCAGAGAGCTGCAGAGGTGTGCAGCAGCACGTGGGCCCAGCACTGTGCTGAGCACCCACCCACACCACAGGGCACAAAGAGAAGGCCATGCACCTGACAGGTAAACAACCACTGTGGCATCCTCCTCACAAGGGCCATATCCTCTGCAGGGGTGACCCCAGCAGCCTTGCAGCTCCTTTTTGGTAAGGACAGCATGAGCTGACACCAGCTTTACTGAGAGCACCAGAGCCCATGCTCAGAGCAGCCTTCGTGGCTCCAGCACCCCCTTCCTGATAGCACATCCTTCCCAGACTGCTCTGCTGGGGGCTGAATACCAGTTTGGTCCCCCTCCTGCTTCTGAGCCCAGGTCTGAAGAAAGCTGGGAAGGCCCCAAAAGTCAGAAGTGCTCCTGTTCTCGGAGAGCAGCAGCAATGCTGTGTGCTAGTGAAATGCTGGTACTGCCTGTAGTCAGCTGTGGCACTTGTGCTCTTCCCACTGAATTCCCACAGGCGTTGCAGAGGGGTTGGGAAGGGAAGGGGAAGGAAAGAGGCAGGTTGAGCAGCTGAGGTGTGGTGGAGCCTGAGTGGGGGTAGTGTCAGGCAGCAGCTCAGCGTTCTCACAGCTGCTGTTGAACCCCTGTGGCTTTCTGTGTGCCACCAGAGGTGAGGCACAGCAAGGACAGTGTCCTCTGGATCTCTCCGCAGCCTCCAAATGCTATTATATGTTCCTTACCAAACAGCAGATCCTAATTCCGTGGCATCCTAGTGTTACTCTTCCTCTGAGGTGTTTTCCTTGCTGGAGGCGGGTCTGCCGCAGAGAGCCGAGTTTTGGGATTACCGGTGCAGTGCTAAGGCTGCCAGGAGTATCCAAGGTTGCATTTGTGTTTCTGCATCCCTCTCCCTTTCCAGTGGGGACCTGGGATCATCCTCTCCAGACTGCAGTGGGGAGCCGAGCCCTGCCAACAGTGAGGTTTAGGGCTGATGCCTGATGGGTACCCAGTGGGGGCAAGAGGTGCCACGTGCAGAGAATGCCCCAAGCCTGCTGGCTTGCCTGGGGCTCTGTGTGAGAGGGTTCCCAGAGCCTGTATTTGGATGAGTTTGGATGAACTCCACAGCAGGAATTCAGTTTGTGCCCAGCTGAACAAAGGTCATGGTTCCTCTCCATCTACCAGATGCCCCTGTGGGCCAGGAAATCCTGCTGCCTTGTCAGGATTAGCTCTGTCAAACACGTACCAGCGTGTTTCACACCCCCCGTCCCACGCTCTGACACCGCGGGGCTTGTCCGGCCCTCCTGCAGCGCTGAACAGCGAGTTCATGTTCCCCAGGGCTGGAGCTTCTGCCCCAGAGGTGCAGACACAGGCAGAGGTTACCAGCTGTGCCACTGTCCCGAGGTCTGAGTCAGTGAGCAGGCTCAGGGTGTCCTGCCCTGCGGCCCTGCCCTTCTCATGGGGCTGCAGAGCCCTTCCCTGGGCTGGGCCCCGTGGGTGACCCCCGCTGTTCCTTGCACTTCGCTGTAGCAGTCAATCAAACCATAGGCATTTGCTGCTATTACAAATGAATGCTTCTTGCCAGGGCTGTAAAATAGGCTAATAAAGGACACTGGATATTATTTTCTTTGCCAACAGATTTGTAAATACCAATCAGTAAAGTAGCCTCTTCTCTGTTCTAATAGTAATAAATAAAATCTCCATGGTTGTTCTTTTTGCGCATTGGATTTTTTTGTGAATTTCTGAAGCATGATTACATCTGCCTGGAGCTGCATATTTCAGCCTGGATGTCAGTGTCCATGAATAAGATTTTGGAATCAGCATGAAGCAAGCACTTGGAAACCATGCCGTGGGCTGGTTCTGTTGTTCTTAACTCTCAGACAGCTTCTAAGGGACACTCAATGAAGCTTGGAAGAGACTGAGTTTAAACAGATGAAAGAAAATACTGCTTTACATAGGATCTTCAGGAGCCTAAAGGGTCATAAAGGTATGAGAGAAGTTTTTGGGCAGTTGGAGGCTGCAGAGAAGGATGTTCTGCTCATGTCCCTCCTCCAGCAGCTGGGAGTGCTGCAGGGGGGCTGTGGGATGTGACCACACAGGCATCCTCCCCTGCATGGTCTCTGCTGCTGGAGATTGGGTTAGTTGGACTCTTGGGCTGACCTGATGGAGACATTTTTATGTCTAGAGTGGAGGATTCTCTGATTGTTCCTCCATCTGTGCTCCAAGGAGCCGCAGGGAGCAATTTGCTGGTGCTCCAGACTGGTGCTGGTTCCCACTGCAGTGGGGCTGCAGCACAGGCCTGGCTGTGCTGCTGCAGCCACATGGGGATGAGTTCCTGCCCTGGCTCCAGCTGGTGCTCTGGAGGTGGTCACTGTCCTCTCAGCACTGGGAAAAGCTGGTGCACTTCAGGCAAAGCCAGCAAGGGCTGCTCTGTCACACCAGTAGTTTAAGATCACCTGTGCTGGCCAAATCACTGGGTCTTCCCGAGGTCTGGCTGGCAGGAGGGTTGGGGCCGGCCTGTAGGACAAGTGAGAGCAGAAGGAAGATCAGGAGCATCGCAACCTCACGCAGCCCTTCCCTAAGTACATCTGCTGCCCAATTTCTGAGTGTTCCCCAAAGCTTTGCTTTGAAAAGAGCTGATTTTGGCCAAATCAGAAAAGCCCACAAACCAAGTGCTTCAGCTCATGCTCTGAGACTCAGGCTTACTTGTGCAGTCCCCTTGGCCTGATACCTGGATCACTTAAAAAAGTGATGGCCAGAGCAGCAGCTGGGCTTGGAACATGCCTGTGATTTGTTCTGGGATTCTACCAGCAGTGCAGTTGGACCCTGTGCCAGAGGGTGGCTGGGACACAGCTCACTCGTCTGGCTGTGAGAGGAGGCAACTGGGGCTTGTCCGTGACCTGCTGCCAGTGCTGGAAGGGTGATGCATCCCAAAGGGGCACCACGCCTGCAGCACTGGCTTTCTGTGGCCAGGTTTTGGTAGCATGGGGGGCTACAGGGGTGGCTTCTGTTAGAAGCTGCCAGAAACTTCCCCCATGTCGCCAATGCCAGCTGGCTTCAGGACAGACTCACAGCTGGCCAAGGCCAAGCCCATCAGGAATGACAGTAATGCCTCTGGGATAACATATTTAAGAAGAGAAAGAAGGTCACTGTGCAGAGGAAAAATTGCAGCACGAGAAGAACGGAGTGAGAATGTGAACAACTCTGCAGACGCTGAGGTCATTGCAGAAGGAGGGGCAGGAGGTGCTTCAGGCACCAGAGCTGAGGTTCCCCTGCAGCCCGTGCTGCTGCTATGGTGAGGCAGCTGTGCCCCAGCAGCCCTGGAGGAGCATCGGGGTGCAGAGACCCCCCTGCAGCCCTGGAGGAGCATCAAGGTGCAGAGACCCCCCTGCAGCCCTGGAGGAGCGCACACCGGAGCAGGTGGATGCCCAAAAGAGGCTGTGACCCCATGGGAGGCCCGTGCTGGAGCAGTGTCCTGGCAGGGGCCAGGCAGAGACGGGAGGGTCCTTGTCCTGCCGCTGCCCCAGCGCTGGTTCGATGGTCTGTGGGTGCAGCAGGTTCGGCACAAGCAGCTCGTGGAGGCGGCACCGAGCGGGGCTGTGCCAGGCTGGGCTCTGGCTCCGGCACCCCCAGGGACTGTCTGCAGGACACTCACCAGCAGGAAGATGGGGAAAGCTGATTTAGCTGCTCAGCGTTGCTGCTTTTAGAGCTCCTGTTTTCCCACAGCATTTGTCAGCTATGGTCAATGGGGGAGAGAACTGGGTGTGGATGCAACTAGGGAAACGAGCTCAGGCAGGATGAGGGGACAGGGGCATTCAGAGTGAGGTGGACCACGGAGGGACCCTGCCAGCATTGACTGCTTACAGGTGGCCATGCAGAAAAGCTTTTGGGACACACGGAGTCACTTTTCATTTCTATTGTGCCTTCCAAAGCAGGGGACACCAGCTGAGGACTCTGCCCAGGCCACGAAGGTTTGAACCTGCCTATCCTGCCCAGGCCTCTGCCTGGACCTTCCTCTGTGTTACCGAATAAATGATCCCATATTGTCTGAAGCATTTAGTGTTTACTCCCATAAAGGGAGCTTGTGTCTGAGGGCTAGAGGACTGTGTGACCTCAGCTGTAGGGGACAGGGGCTGGCAGGAATTGGTGCCCAAGGCCATGAAGGTGTTCAGAAGCTCAACGCTGGTCTGCAAAGCTGTGACTTCTCCCAAAGGAGAACTAGTGGGTTATGTCATCTCATCTCCACTTGCAGCCCCATTTCCTCCATCCCTTCTGTGCCATGTCTGGTCCTTCGTTCAGCTCACAGGGAAGCGGGGAGATGGGATAGGTGGTGAGGAAAGTGTAGGGCATGGAGTGGAGGGGGAGCAGGACCCTCTCCTTTGAGAGCAGCGAGCTACTGGATTGCCTCAGCTGTGAGGTTCAGCTTCCCTGAAATGACCTTCCTGCTGGGGAAGACAAGGACACTGCAATTGCAAATGGGAAACACTGGGCTGGGTGTCCCCCAGTGGGTGCTATCTCCCCACTCTCAGGGCAGTTTAGCCAGACTCTAAAGCCCCAGGGACCACAGGAAGGCCTGTAGAGCAGGGTCTCAATCATCTGCAAGTAGACAGCCCCACAAAGGACAAGGATGTGAAGGGTCTACAGCCTGCCCCCTTCTCCCAGCTGAATCAGCAGGGATGTCTGGGTGCACTGATGTAGAAGGCCCAGCCTGTTTGTGTGTCTCTCCCAGCCACTCCATGGTTGGGGCTGTGCCTGCTCTGGCCAAGGGCACAGACTGAGGGTGGACACTCTTCCCTGGAAACCTGCAGCCGGTTCCCAGCCTCTGGTCTGGGGTGCCCTGGTTGGCAGAGAAGGGGTGAGAAACTGTCCCAAGGTAGGAAGTAGCCAGCTGTGGAGTGCTGCTGTGATGCTGGCACGGTGAGTCACTCACCTCCCACCCTGGGAGCAGCCTGGAGGTCAGGCAGACCTGTGGGACCCCCAGCAGCGTCTGACAAGAACAGGTACAAGCAGGATGAAGCACGATGGGGAGAGCTGGACGCAGAAAACTCGTGCCTGGCCTGCTGCACGTTGGTGCGGAGGGCAGGGACTCTGCCCAGGTGAATGTGTGACCCCCGTGCGGTGCCGGCCCGCATCTCCTCCCCCGGGGCTGTTCTCTCAGCGCTGCACAGGCTGCAGTGACCCCGCGTGGGCTGCGCGGAGGCAGCCGAGGGCTCCCGCCTCCGGCAGAGCCCCGTGGGCAGGGACGACAAACCCTGCGGGCACAGAGCCCCCTTCTCCCCCTGCCACGAGGGCCCAGGGGGGCCGGGCAGGGAGGAGCGGAGGGTCTCGGGCAGAAATTGCTCCCCCGGCCCTCACCGGGGCTGCTCCTCGGGGCATTGCCCCTCACGGGAGTGACTGTGCTGGGACGTGGCCAGGGCAGCACGGGCAGTGCCAGCAGAGCTGCTGAGCTCGGGGCCAGCTCTCCCACAGCACTGCTGCACTGAGGACCTGGAAGGGAGGGAGCTGTAGGACACCCCACTGGGAACTTCCTCCCTCTTCCTCAGGAATGTCACCTGATCACAGAGCCTGCCCTTGGGTCTCTGCCTGAGCTGGGTCAGCTGTTTCTGTGATGATGGGGACCCTGATCCCAGCCTGTGCACTGACCTCCTCCCCTGACCTGCCTCATCCCTGTGGGATTTTCCAGTGCTCACCTGATCACTGTCACCGTCCCTGCTCTGCTCCCATGGCCTGGCCTGTGCTGGTCAGGGCAGTGCCCTGCCTGTCCCACCTGTCCTGTCAGCTCCCACTGACAGCAAATCCTGTGGGGTGCACAACACTGCCTGTGCTGAGCATAAATGAAAACTTTACAGATGAGACCTGAACAGCTTCTCAGAGAAAGCAGAGAAGGCCCCAACCCATTCCTCAACTTGCCTGACAGCAAAGCTTGCCAAGCAAGACAAAAATGCTGGCTACTCCTTGCCTCCCTACCTCTGATTTCCTGTGAAGCTGTGTCTCAGTGAGACTGAGGCTGCAGAAGGGAAGAGGATGGGACAG